AATGTCGGAAAACTGGAAAATCCCCCATTTTTTATGAATTAAACCCTGTAACTCGGAAATGTAAAATCTAAATTATATAAAAATTAAAAGGGAGCTCATGTCAATAGATATAAACAATTCACCAAAATTTCTTGCAAGTTGGTGAAAGCATTCTTGAGTTATTGTCCGAAAACTGGAAAATCCCCCCTTTTTTAATGAATAAAACCCAAAACTCGGAAACAGTAAATCTGAAATTTATTAAAAACAAAAGGGAACTCACATCAATAGATATAAACAATTCACCAAAGTTTCATGCATATTGGTTAAAGGGTTTTTGAGTTAATGTCCGACATGTTGACGACGGACGGACAGATGGTCAACGGTATACCATAATACGTCCCGTAAAAGGGCGTATAAAAACTAACATTGTGCCAAGTGTAAAATTTTCATAGTGACTGAAGCATGACTAAAGGTTGACAGTATAATACTATTCTCAAAATTGAAATACTAGGATGTTAATGCAACAGCATGCCAAATAACTGGTATAAGTTATTCTGTACAAATACACTTGATCAGACAAAGCATTTTAAATAAAGTAAATATTCTGAAGTCAATGAAGCATGATAACTAAGGGGATCTCTGAGAAACTCATGTGCATAAATTATTATTTCTAAACAACACATTTGTCTTCAGTACAATTAATTTTATTCATGAATGACTAAAACAAAAAGGAAAAAAAAGTGTACAGTTTTCCTTTTGATGTACCTTACTACAAAATTATTAGTAAAATATCATAAAAATATCATACATATATAATGTTAAGCATTAATCTGGAAATTATTTTCTAGAATAATACAATTAATCAATCATGAAGACCTAAGCACCATTTCATTGAAAACAATTCCATCAAAACTTCTTGAAATCAATCTCATTACAGAGTTGACATGGATAATTTTATAGAGGAATTTTACAATGGAGATATAATAAATCAATGATAAAGAAAGCCTTGTGCTGAAGTCTGATAAAAAGGATTTTCTTCAAAAGGGCAATTTATTTTGCAATTTATTTTGGATTTGTTTGCTTGATTTTTCTAATGAATTTTCTGTTCATTTTGTTTTAATGAGAAAGCAATGACTTTTATGTCAAATGTATTCACAATGTTTCAAATGACTGCTTTCTTGTTATAAAAAGAGGCTAAAAGCCATTATCCGGCCTCTAAAATTGCAACAAAAGTAAAATTCTACAAGTCCTTCAAAATTATGCTTATCGATAGTATGATATAATCTGCACACTTTAGTACATAAATGTCACTTGATGTCATAAAATGGTAATTTTATTAAAAGTTTTGGGCAAAATTAGAGATGTTCAAAGGCCTTACCCAAAAACAGATACTGTACCCACATTAACATCTTTGAATAAGACATCTTGTAGCTAAATAGATGTTTGGGTAGGCCTCAATTCATATCGAAATATTAATGACAAGGTCTCAAAATAAGTCTATTTTGGCCGATTTTGTAGTTTTGCATTAAATACAACAAATTTGAAGCCATAAATAAAGTCTGCAAGGCAAAATTAAAAAATATTGATACTAATCTCTGACAGACCAGTGACTTATGAACATGTAATTTTCAAACTCAAGGTACAAAAAATTTGCCTTATTAAATTTTCTTCTCTAAAATGTTTACAGCAACAAAGTATAAATATAAGAATATGTAAATGGTGCAAATATTATAAATTATCCTACAATCAGATAACTATTGTACAAAAAAGTGAAACTGCGAGCTACTGCTCACTGATGATACCCCCGCCGCAAGTGGATAATTTTATAAGTGTAAAAATATGTAAGTGTTCGGTAAACAAGAAGTTGTTGAGTGATGAATCTGAAAACGCATCACACGGTATAGCTGACTTATATATAAACCCTGAAACCAAATTTCAGAAATCCTTGTATTGTAGTTCCTGAGAAAAATGTGACGAAAATTTTCAACTTGGCTATCATGTGTAAAATGATACAAGTGTTCGGTAAACAGGAAGTTGTTGAGTGATGAATCTGAAAACGCATCACACGGTATAACTGACTCATATAAACCCTGAAACCAAATTTCAGAAATCCTTGTAATGTAGTTCCTGAGAAAGATGCGACGAAAAATATTTATGGGACAGACAGACGGACTGACGGATAGACAGAGGTAAAACAGTATAACCCCCTTTTCTAAAGCGGGGGTATAATTTAAAACAGGGACATAATAACAGGTACACAAATAATTATTTTCTATATTTGTAATAATAAGGTCTCCTGTTACCCAGCTTCCATGTTGAGCAAGCGGTAATGTGAATATTTCTTATTCTGTAACATTTCATTTTAGGGTCCTCTTTTCTGTCCATGTTTAAACTATGTCGATTCTATGAAAAATCAGAGACAACAATTTGGATTTAAACAACTAAAGCTTCAAGCACCTGTTATAAATTGCAGGATAAAAACAATATCTTTACATTATCGGAAATATAAAATGTATTTGTACTCGCTATGAAACAGGAGAAAAGCTCTGCGAGCCTTGCTTTTCGTCCTGTTTCTAAAGCTTGTACAAATTAAATTTATATTTTCCGACAATGTACATATATTGTATATGTAAAATGCTACCTTGTCATTGGTTGTCTTATGTCATATCTAAATGTCATTTATTATTTGAAGGATTCAGTTTTGATGGCTGATTTTCTATTGTTTCTGTTAAAATTATTGTTTTTAAGACTCACCCCAATTTAGAGCTTGACATATTGTAACCACACCTATCTATCTTTAAAGACAGTATGAGATCGTTAAATGTCTTTTTGGATATTTGTGTTGGTCGTTGCTGTCTCATTGATCTATACCCAACAAAAACATTTTGTGATAACAGATATATACCCTACTCACCAACTTTTAAGAGTAAAAAAATCCTTCACAGATTTTTCCTATACATGTATATGTTTTTTAGCACAAGATACCATATATCATGTTTATTTTCCATGTTTTTTTCTATGAATTTTATGACATAATGGGCAAGTTAAATTTTTACTGACTGGAAAAATACACCTGATAAAAACTTATTCAGAAATAAAGAGATCTTAAACTACATAAAGATTATTGACTGACAGAGGATGGATAACAAATAAACTGCTAATTAATTAACATTTTTGAACATGTCACAGATTGCTGGTGTCAACAGGTATGATTATGTTTTTATTTTAATGAAAATGGTTTAATTAAATATGTACATTATTGTGATTTGTTATCAACACAAAAAGACTGATTATATTTTATTTCACCTTTAGGATGAAAATTGTTCACATACTTATGCATGTATATTCATCACTTACCATATAGTGTATGAAATACTTAATAAACTGCTTCGCTGAGCGCAGCTAGATATGCCCCCGGAGGTCCAACCCTGAACAGTTGGGGCAAAAATGGACACAATATTCAAGCTTGATTCAGGTCTGAATTTGGATTGTAATTAAATATTTGACAAATTATAGGTTTCTGAATAAATGTATTCAAAGAACTTAAAATTGGTTATATGAATTGAATATATATTCACTTAAAGATTTCTTGCTGTTGTGCAATACTTACCGGTAGTATATCTGTTGTCAGACCATAAACAAATAAAGTTCAATTAATTCTCAATGTCATATTAGAAATTTATGAAAATAAAAAGGGAGCTTACATCAATAGATATTAACAATTTACCAAAGTTTCCTGAGAATTGGTGACAGCATTTTTGAGTTATTGCCCGAAAACTTGAAAATCACCCCTTTTTTTAATGAATAAAACCCCATAACTCAGAAATGTATAATCTAAAATTTATAAAATTCTAAAAGGAGCTTACATCAATACAATCAAACAATTCACCAAGGTTTCATAAGAATTGCTGAAAGCATTTTTGAGTTTTTGTCCGAAAACTGGAAAATCCCCCCTTTTTTTATGAATAAAACCCTGTAACTCGGAAACGTAAAATCTAAAATTTATAAAAATCGAAAGGGAGCTCATGTCAATAGATATAAACAATTCACCACAATTTCTTGCAAGTTGGTGAAAGCATTCTTGACTTATTGTCCGAAAACTGGAAAATCCCCTTTTTTTAATGAATAAAACCCAATAACTCGGAAACGTGAAATCTAAATTTTATAAAAAACAAAAGGGAGCTCACGTCAATAGATATAAACAATTCACCAAAGTTTTATGCAAGTTGGTGAAAGCATTTTTGAGTTAATGTCCAACATGTTGACGATGAACAGACGGACAGACAGACAGACAGACGGACAACGGTATACCATAATACGTCCCGTAAACGGGCTTATAAAAAGTGATAAATCTGGAATATACAGGGGAAATTTTGTTGAATGTTTCCTCTAATAAAGCCAAAATAAAACACATGTCACAAAACCCTGTAGTTAGATTATTATATCTAAACTTTCCCTACTACTGTCTCATTAAGAGAGCAAGAATGAGGTTATAAAAGTACTTTTATCTTACCATAGGGACCCTAAACACCTCAGATGAAAGTCACTGGACTTGAAAATTAATGGATCAAGCCTTCAACCTCTTCACTTACTACTGCAACAGACAGAAAGCACCCCTCAAGATATAAGTTATCTTAGGCTTTAAAGGGTTATTGTGTAATTTTATTTTGATTCTTTTGGTTGCTTACAGCACTGAACCATAAGACATAAATATAATGGAATTAATTTTCAATGCAATATTTTGCATATACTTTTAAACTCTGGAAAAGTTCACCTTTAGGAAGCTTTCCAAGGTCCAGGGCTTAACTTTCCCAAAGGCGGCCATGGACAACAAAACTGAAACTTGTTCTGGAGTCATTATACATTAATGTACCAAAGATGAGCCCCATTATTGCAGAAATTGTAAAAAAAGTCTTAAAGTTTAGTTGTTTCATTTCAGAAGAACAGAATGATGGAAGGCTGGACAAGGGTAACACAGTTAATCTGGTCACTTAGTGGCGGGCCATAACAAAATAAATCAATGCATTTTATAATCTTGTATTCAGAAAGGCACAATTACTGTGATGGGAAATAGTCTGCTTCAGAGATCTTAGCCTTTTATCAATGCACATGAATTAATTTCCCCTGTTGAATGATTCATTTGTACAAATTTATAAAATAAAAAAACATTATTGTAGTGTAGAAACCATTTTTCAGACATTTCAGTCAGTGGCCTTCTTCAGTAATTCTGTTTTCTTTCTATCATACCACATCTCCTTATTTTTATATGGTAGATCATTCACCTTTCATAAATTATTTAGGTGTTAACTACATAGTGGAAAGAGAAAACAGAGAAACAGACAGAGACCAGTGACTCAAAGGTCTGGTTTTGATACTATGACAAATCAAAACAATTCAGAATCCTTAATGCAGAAACAATCTACACTACAATGAATACAAGTGATAGTAGTTTGTCTGATTTACATTCAATCCAAGCAAACTACTTATAATCCAGAAAGTGAAAATCATTCATAACCTGTTTTTTTATGTTAGATAATAATGTTCCATAGTTTTAAAATTCAAAGCAAACTTAAGCCATTTTTTAGTTTTTAATATCATGATGTCATTAACATGTGAATTTCAACTTTAAGGTTATAAATACAAAATGAGTTTCTCTACAATACAAATGCCCTCGCCTGCAGCAAATAAGATATGAACAGATGCCAATTCTCCCTCAATACACTAAATAAAAAAATCCCAATCTTGTTCTCTTATTTGAATTAAACATTGGTATACTTCTCATAAGAACAATAAGTTCAACATCTGGAGACTCTGATAAAAAAGAAAACCATGTTGGCATGTGTAATTTTCAAGAGATTTTCTAAATAGATGGGTTTTAATTTTGTCAAAGCATGTAAACCAAAATGAAATGAATACTGAATATAAATCATCATTATGCAAATAAACTACAAAAATCAGTTATTATTTGTGGGCAGCAGAAAATATAATAGACATCAGTTATATTTCAACAAGACAGAACAGACAATGAGTAAATTATATGTGCTAAATCCAAGGTGTAATAAAAAAGTAGTATTTGATTAAACAATATACTCAGATTGTTTGAAAACAAATAACTCAGATGAACAATGTTTCAATTCATGACTAATCTATGTACAAATATGAAATATTTTGTGTGGGATCTTTGTATTATAAAATGATCTAAATGGCAGTGTCAATGTTGAAATGTTTCTTGGCCTCTATGTTAGTCCAAATCTTTCTGCTCTTTTAGATTTCTTTGCCTGTAAAATACAAGAAATATATACTGCTAAGTCTCTTACAAAAACTTATATAAAACAAATAAATGGAGAATGTGTCTATGGGCCACAGATGCCCCCGCTTGTAAATATGCATGAGTCAACTTCCACATACAGATGCAGGATTCATGTAGTTAAGACTGTTTTGTGATAATAAGCATTGTGTATATGTTTCATAACATTTGGTTGAGGCAAACTAAAGTTAGAGAATGGAATCGACAGATTTTGCAATTTTTCCATTTATAAAGGGGCATAACTCAAGAACGGTAAAATTGACTCCACCCAATTTCGAACTTGATCTGTGTTTTGTGGTAATAAGCATTGTGTATAAGCAGATTTAGCAATTTTTATGTTTATAAAGGGGCATAACTCATGAACAGTAAAAGTGACACCACCCAATTTCAAACTTGATCTGTGTTTTGTGGTAATAAGCATTGTGTATAAGTTTCATAACATTTGGTTGAGGCAAACTAAAGTTAGAGAACGGAAACAACAGATTTAGCAATTTTTATATTTATAAAGGGGCATAACTCATGAACGGTAAAAGTGACGCCACCCAATTTCAAACTTGATCTGTGTTTTGTGCTAATATGCATTGTGTATAAGTTTTATAATATTTGGTTGACGCAAACTAAAGTTAGAGAATGGAAACCAATTTTTGGGGTCGTTCGGGACAGACGGACCTGTGAGCGCGCTAACGAGGCCATTTTCCATAAATTTAATATTTCCAAGGGGCATAACTCTTTAGAAAAAAGTCGATCGGCCACCATTATACAAATTGTCTGAGATATTGCTGATATTAACCTATAGTATAAGTTTCATAAAAATCTGGCAAAAATTGTAACTGTGAGAGCGCTAACAAGACCAGACGGACAGACACACGGACACACAGACAGAAATAAAATGATGACATCAAAATCCATTTTGTGCAAAAATACAAGTTAACTACAGCATCTAATGCAACGCAACTTCTGGTAACTTTATTATCACATTTTCTTACCAGAACAAGAATAAATAATGGCATCTTATTGTTTATATGGATTTTACCATGGAACACCTTATAATTTCCAAAATTTTACCTCATGGTTAAATCTATAAACCATATGCTGACATTAACGTTCCTTAATTAAGCAATACCAAATCCAATTATGCAATAAACTGATTCTTTCATAAATGTTTGAATGCATAAAACTATAAACTGGGTCAATATTCCTAATGGGATCAAAGTGAGGAACACAATTATATTTCTAAACAAAAAACAGTCAGGTATGATTTTAGATATGTTCCTATTAATTAATTGATTTTAAACTTGAGCATTAGTGCTGTTTTAAAGTACAGTGTACCATACAATTTTGATGTAAAAAAGTGAGTTATTGAATGTATGCTACAACAGTTGAAGCAACAGGTAACTACTATGGTTAATCATTAGATTTTATACCTCCACTTCAGAACTGACAGCTACAGTACTAATAGCACCAAATCTTTCTTTTCTCTTTAATATCTTCTCTTGATCTTCACTCTGGAAAATATCAGGGTATACAAATTTTGGAAGATAAAAAATTTCAAATACATAGTTGCACAAGAAAGTTTTATAGTTTTTAAAATCTTACAAAGTACAATTCTACCATGTTTTTCCATATTAATTACTGATCTGGTTGTCTCTCTTGCTACATGAAACAAACAATCTTATAAGGACAAGTATTTTTTGTTCTTTTTTTAACCCTTAAAGGCAACATTTTCTAAAACCTACAAACCTTTATAAATCATACTACTCTTGACCAATCTGACTTGGACTTAATCGTTTGATGATCGTTTGTTTTCTAATCTTGAACATTTTGACTTGATTTAGTCCTTGAGCGATTGTTTCCTACTTCTAGGCTATTCTGACTTAACTTAATCCCTGAGTGATTGTTTTCAGCAATACTTTCTTCATTTAACTTTCCTACTTGAATTGAGCATTGGGCATTTATTTCATTCATCTTTCCATTTTTTCCTTAAATTGTTTTAACATGAGCATGGTGTTACAATAAGGACAATTTATTTTCTAAATCAAATCTTTAAGTCTTTAATTTATGGGTGTAAGTTAAGGTTGGATATATTTCAGCTTTTGAGTAAAGATAGATGCATATCAAACAGACTTTATCCGTAATTTGGACGACAGTTTCACCACATTTCTAATTTGTTTTACTTCATAAAAATGAGTGTTTCATTATGTATAGAGATACATGTAATTTGTTTAAATCAGTCTTGAAGCACCAATTTCTGTGGAGATCATCAGTATAGATGAAGCACAAATCTTATAGTTCAACAGAAAATATTTTTCCTACAGGCTTGTATGAAGAATTGATCGAACCACAAAATCAAGTTTCACGCAATATATAAAATTTTCCTCAATCTAAAAGAATAAGAAATCAAACAATTCTACAGTAATATGTGATGTGAAAATAACTTGCAACAAATACATAAAAACATATTGTCATAAAAAATCCTTTATTTACTTTACTTAAGGCTGGTGCTACAGATCCACCAAATCTTTCAGCTCTCTGTTTTAATTTCTCTACATCAGCTACCTGCAAATGATATATGTTATTCAATGGGTACTAGCTGTCAAATTCATGTTCACCGATTTGACTCAAATTCTCATATTTGATTTATATTCATGTAAAACATTTATTCAAATTATAAAAAGTCTCAAATAAACAATTTACAGGACATGGGCTTGATAATATGTAGCTTCGTTTCGTGTGTATTTTAGTCTTAACACCATCTAATTAACTATCGAGTTGACCTCCGAAGACCTCTGATGGTCATATAAGCGATATAAACATAAATATATATATAAATAGAAAGTGAAATCGTGCAATTGGATTTTTCTAGGTCTGTTTAATTTCATATTATAGATTAATAAAATGCTCCCCTGGGTGCAGCTTGATACGACCGCAGAGGTCAAACCCTGAACAGTTGGGGCAAGTATGGACACAACATTCAAGCTTGATACAGCACCGAATTTGGATTGTGATTAAATATTTGACACAGCACAGGTTTCTGACACAGAATGAAAGTGGTCTAAGAACTTAAAATTTTTTAATTTACCTCTTCAACCCATATCATTATTATTTGCTTTTATATATAAATCAGAAATAAACAATTTAAAATGGAAAATTTTAAAGAAAAAAAAATCCCCCCACCAAATTTTTTGAACCCCCTTATGAGTCATCACCCCCAAACTCAATCCCAGCCTTCCCTTTGTGGTATGGTACCTGCAGTACAATTTCAGAGAGATCCATACACTTGAACACAAGTTATTGTCTGGAAACTAGAAAAATGCTTGTTTTTTGGCCCCTTTTTGGCCCCAAATTCCTAAACATTTAGGGCATTTACCCCCAAACTCAAACCCAGCTATCCCTTTGTGATATGGAACCTTGTAATACAATTTCATAAAGATCCATTCACTTACACACAAATTATTGTCCTGAAACTAGAAAAATGCTTGTTTTTTGCCCCTTTTTTGGCCGCTAATTCCTAAAATTTTGAAACAATTACCCCCAAAATCAATCCCAGCCTTCCCTTTGTGGTATGGTACATTGCAGTACAATTTCAGAGAGATCCATACACTTGAACACAAATTATTGTCTGGAAACTAGAAAAATGCTTATTTTTGGCCCCTTATTCCTAAACGTTTTGAGCAATTACCCCCAAACTCAATTCCAGCTTTTCCTCTGTGATAAGGAACCTTGTAGTACAATTTCAGAAAGATCCATACACTTACACACAAGTTATTGTCATGAAACTAGAAAAATGCTTGTTTTTTGCCCCTTTTTTTGCCCCTAATTCCTAATATTTTGAGGCAATTACCCCCAAAATCAATCCCAGCATTCCCTGTGTGATTTAAAACCTTGTGGTACAATGTCAGAGAGATCCATACACTAACACACAAGTTATGTCTGGAAGGTACAAAAATGCTTATTTTTGGCCCCTTTTTGGCCCCTCATTCCTTAACTGTTGGTACCATAACCCCCAAAATCGATCCCAACCTTCCTTTTGTGGTATTGAACCTTATGGTAAAATTTCATAGAGATCCATTCACTTAAACTAAAGTTAGAGAGCGAAAACCAATGTGTCTTCGGACGACGACGACGTCATACCAATATACAACCGCAATTTTTTTTTGCCGTCGTATAAAAATATATGTTATTCATCGTTTTTACCTCAGTTAAGGGGTTAAATTGAAGTTCACATGAATACGGATTCAATGAGGTTGAATTATTTACTTGCAAGTGAATAATTCACCTTCAATGTTTCTTAGCTTAATTTGACAAAATTGGACCATACTGGCTGCTAAAAGCAAATTACTATTTCACTTTTTCCCTTTAATTAATGATTGAACAAAAAAAATCATACTTTAGATTTTTATATATCTCGTAGCTAGTGCCCCTTTAAGGAATTATCTTATAAATTTGTCAAGGTTCATTTGATTCCAAATTTCATGAATATCACAAAGTATCTCTCTAAATATTTCAAACACTCAAATACAATGTATTTTGATAAAAATTTATTTGGCAACTTCATATTTTACATCTAATGACCATCAAGATTTCACTTTTTTGTTTTTACCTGTGAAGATTAAATGGACTCAACCTTGATGAACACTACTTTACCAGTCATTGCTTTGTCATGATGTGATCAAGAAGCTTTTATTCTTTTTTCAACAACCCATGACAATGCCCTTCTAGATCAAATTCTGGGTCACCATTTCCTGTGTCTAAGCATTTACTGTTTGGCATTTTTAAGTTAAGGTATTTTTACCAGTTTTTTATTGTTGTCTTTTATTCTTCTAACCACTTCATAGCATTAATTTTGTTCTGTCAAAAGATGAACAATATTTTGCTGAAACAACATAAATTCTAGAAATAGACTTTGAGACACGCTCCACCATTCTATTAATAACCATCAAACTAGGCCTGCTGTGACCCCAACCTTAAACTTTATATCTCGAAATTGACAGAATTTTCCTCTTCAGAAGGGACATAATCTATTTGACCATTAAAACAGAAAACTTAGCTTTAAGAATTGACAATCATAGCACATTGTTTCCATACAGCATGGTTTTTGAAGGCGAGACAACAGCTGCATCAGGAAATGACTCTTCTTCATGATTATAACTTTGGCTTACATGCCTGATATCCTTTTTATCACATAAAAGGCTTTTAAATCCTATTTAAAAAAACTTGTAACTGGCCATACTATATTTTCACCGGGCTGGGCCAGTGGTCATGTACATGAAAGTTTATAGTGAACATTGATATGCAGTGTGTACACAGTATACATTGTAGATCTTGTTCTATGGAACGAAAACAAATTTACTTTACCTTAGATAAAACAGGAGAAACTACACCAAATCTTTCTGCTCTTTGTTTTAATTTATCTGCATCTGCCTGAAGAGTATATATTTACATAAAAAACATGATAGAAACTTATTCTTTTTTGCTGTTTTCTGTATAAAATTATCTGAAATAGGAAACAACTTGAAATGATAGGAAACTTGAAAAGTCTACCTATTCCTGCAGCAAAAACATTTTTTTCAATAATTATGAATATTTTTGTCAAATAATTTTAATTAGAACGATGTACTAGTTTTTCTTATATTAGATGTGTTTTTAGATTGACAAAAAACAAAAATGGAACTCCACTAAAAAGCTTTTTTTAATTAATTTGTTTTTAACAAGAGTGCACATGCTGAAATGTCTCGTCTGCTTTACTGACCATTGATATTGTGTTGAAAGTCTTAAAGATATAGGTTTAAGTAAAAATATTACACAAAGAACTATGACAATGAGGTCAAGGTCAGATAAATCCTGATAGACAGACATGTACACCTTACAATTATTCCATACACCAAATATAGTTGACCTATTGCTTAAGATAACTGAAACACAGACCAAAACACAAAAACTTAATATTTACAAATGAACCATGAAAATGAGGTGAACGTAAGATGAGACCTGCCAGACTGCCATGTACCCCTTAAACTCATCCCATACACCACATATAGTTGACCTACTGCTTATAGTATTTGAGAAACACACCTAATCACATAACTTTAACCTTCATCGCTGATCCATGAATTGAGGTAGAGGTCAGGTGACCCTGTCTGACAAACACGTAAGACGTTGCAAGGAACCCATGTACCAAATATAGTTATCCTATTACTAATGATAAGTGAGAAATTCACATGACAAAAAAACTGTAATTTTTTTCAAGCAGTCCCTGAACCATGAAAATGAGGTCAAGGACAACGGACATATGATAGACGGAAACTTCGCAACACAAGGTATCTCCATACAAGGTATGAAGCATCCAGGTCTTCTACCTTCTGAAATATAAAGCTTTTTACAAATAGTTTACATTGCTGCCGCCACCTGATAGTAATCCCTATGTTTTGCACACTGAGACTTTCTTAGCTGGCAAGACAAAAACTGAAATTCAACATTCAAAAACTCATAAACCATCTTTATTTCAATAGAAATTGTCATAGATATATGAATGTAAGTTCACCATAACTAACTGCCAAGATCTAGTTTTCTTTCAAACTTCCTTTAGCAAAGCTGTTCTTGTCCTAAACATGCATGAAATATTTTCCACTGGAAGTTAAGCAAATAACAATCAATCAATCCTTCAGGATTGTATGTAAAATGTGAAATCTTCTTGTTTCTTCTTGTTTTATTTATTGTAAAACATTTTCAACTTCTAAAGTTCATGACACTATATTTACAGTAGCATATATTGAAGTAAGTGAATTCAGTAATTGTTGGAAATGTCTAAACATGAGACATATTCCTGCAACAGGGAAAAAGACTACAACTTCCATCTAGAATCTAACCTAAGCACTAATGATATTTTCAGCTAAATTTCAGGGTCCCAGCTGAAAATTTAGAAGCCTGGGCTACTGGACCCTGCTAATCTGTTTCCCTATTACAGATTAATGTCAACCATTACCACACACTTCTACAAGGTTAAATTAACTTACTGATACATCTCCTGAGATTTTTGCTGATGATATGTTTGAAGATTTTTCTGACAAACCAAATCTATAAAAAATTTTAAAATATTATAATAACTAGATATCAATGAGATGGGAGCCATCTCTGTGGGCCCCGCTGTGAATAATGTGTGGTAAAAAATTTGTATCTTTATTATTGGACATGGGGTTGTCAACTGAAACCAAAGTTTTTGACCTTGACCTAGAAAGTTGTACTTAAATTATGACACACCCTCTGGTGTTGGTTTATATACATGTCAAGTATAAACTTTGAAATCATAACAATTCTCAAGATATAGAGCGGACACGATCTTCACCATTGGACATGAGGTTGTCAACTGAAACCAAAGTTTTTGACCTTGACCTTTGACCTAGGAAGTTGTACATAATTTATGACACACCCTCTGGTGTTGGTTTATATACATGGCCAGTATAAACTTTGAAATCATAACGGTTCTCAAGATATAGAACAGACACAATCTTTACCATAGGACATGGGGTTGTCAACTAAAACCAAAGTTTTTGACCTTGACCTTTGACCTAGGAAGTTGTACATACATTATGACACACCCTCTGGTGTTGGTTAATATACATGTCAAGCATAAACTTTGAAATCATAACGATTCTCTAGATAGAGCGGACACAATTTGTTACAGACGGACGGACGGACATACGGACGGACAGACAGACTGATCACTTTAGGGCGGCCGCCATTCAGCGGGGCCCTAATAAATGTGGATAGTGTCCATATGTGGACACAGATGATGCCCCCGCTTGCATAGCATATAGTTATAAAGGGACATAACTCGAGAACGGTAAATGTGACGCTACCCAAATTTGAACTTGATCTGAGTTTTGTGGTAATAAGCATTGTGTGTAAGTCTCATAACATTTTGTTAAGGCTAACTTAAGTAGAGAACAGAAACTAAAAATTCAGCAATTTTTCTATTTGTAAACACGCATAACTCTAGAACGGTTGTGTATAAGTTTTATAACATTTGGTTGAGACAAACTAAAGTTAGAGAACGGAAACGAAAAATTCAGCAATTTTTGTGTTTATAAAGGGACATAACTCAAGAATGGTAAAAAAGTCGCCACCAAATTTCGTACTCAATCTGTATTATGTAGTAATAAGCATTGTGTATAAGTTTCATAACATTTGGTTGAGGCAAACTAAAGTTAGAAAACAGAAACAAAAAATTTGTACTTGATCTTAGTTTTATGGTTATGAATATTGTGTATAGGTTTCATAATGTTTGGTTGGGGCAAACTTAAGTAACAGAATGGAAACTAAAAATTTTGCAATCTTTCGATTTATAAAGGGGCATAACTCGATAATGGTTAAAGTGACACTACCAAAATTCAACTTGATCTGTGTTTTATCAGTGGAAGTCAAAATTAAACATTGCATTGTATAAAGCATTGATTGTAGTTGATTCAACTATAATCATGGACAAAGGAAGATAACTCCAATTTAAAAATAACTTAATATTTAGAATAAAATAAATTTTTTTCAATTTTTCCATTTATAAAGGGGCATAACTCTAGAACAGTTAAAGTGACGCCACCAAAATTCAAATTTGATATGTGTTTTGTGGTAATAAGCACTGTGTATAAGTTTCATAACATTTGGTTAAGGCAAACTAAAATTAGAGCACAGAAACGAAAAATTCAGCAATTTTTCCATTTGTAAGGGGGCATAACTCTAGAACGGTAAATGTGACGCCACCAAAATTCAACCTTGATCTGTGTTTTGTGGTAATAAGCATTGTGTATAAGTTTCATAACATTTGGTTGTGGCAAACTAAAGTTAGAGAACGGAAACGAAAAATTCAGCAATTTTTCCATTTGTAAAGGGGCATAACTCTAGAACGGTAAAAGTGACGCCATCGAAATTCAAACTTAATCTGTGTTTTGTGGTAATTAGCATTGTGTATAAGTTTCATAACATTTGGTTGTGGCAAACTAAAGTTAGAGAACGGAAACGAAAAATTCAGCAATTTTTCCATTTGTAAAGGGACATAACTCTAGAACGGTATAAGTGACGCCACCAAAATTAAAACTTGATCTGTGTTTTGTGGTAATAAGCATTGTGTATAAGTTTCATAACATTTGATTGAGGTAAACTAAAGTTAGAGAATGGAAACCAATTTTGGGACGTACGTACGTACGTACAGACGGATAAGGGTAAAACTTAATGCCCCCTCCAATACGGCGGGGGCATAAAAATGTTTCCATCCACTAAGAAGTAAATTGGTATATCTTAAACCTTGTCATGCATTTTATGTTTGTCGTACAGTTTATAGTTAGGGCTGTTCCATTAAAACATACATGGTACCCAGGGAAGGCACTTTAAAAATGGGGTAACCACCTATAGAGGCAAATTAAAATTTCACTTACATTTCCACTATGCAAAAAAATAGATGACATCCACCTATAGTTGAGATTTGGAAGTTCCTTCCCTGGGTCCCATGTATGTTTTTATGGAACAGCCCTTATTGTAGTTGACACTGTCTCACTATAAATCAGAAAATTACGTATAATTGCCTATGAGACAACTCTACACCAGAGACCAAAGTTAGCAATAATGAGCAAAACCCATACTGCCTAGCAAGCTATAAAAGGCCTTGAAATTTCAAACAAGAAAACTAATTGCCTGATATGTGTACAAAAGAATAAATGAAAAACAAATATGATACAGTAACAAAGGATAACCACAAAATTACACGCTTCTGACTTGGGACAGGCATATACAGAATCAGGTAGGGGTAAAACATGTTTGTGGGTGTCCAAAACCCTCCCCTTAACCTCGGACATGAGTCCATTTTTTTCATATATGGCATCTTTTTATTTTCTTTATACAAAAAGACAGTAAGACAGTTGTCAAACACTTTGTTTTATCAATTCTTCTAAAACTGTTTCATATACCGTTGGAACTCGAGTAATAGTCGATCCGACTATTAGTAGGTTGCCCTTTTCAGCTCCAAATTCTAAGGATTTAGTCTTCACCCTCGTATAAGTCGGACAAAATTTGGACATTTTTTTTGCAGCTGACAGTTACTGAACGCCGGTAAAACCAATGCAAATCCAGGACTTATATTCATTTTCTGCATGAATGTTTGTTTGGTTTGAATTTAGTTGATGTTGATCATGATCATTTATATTGCTGTTAATAAAAAAGATGTATTCATTCCTGTTGTTTTGTTCACTGTTTGATTAGCCATGGGCGTGTTTTATTGGTCTCTTCTGCACATCTCCAGAATGTCTTCTGGTGAAGAGTCCAAAAAAATGAATCTGGACCTCTTCTGGAGATATTATATGGAGGATCAACAAAACAAAAATTCAATTTGCCGTCGAATATAGCAGATTTTTGTTATGTTGGATGACATAAATGAAGTTTACGATGATTTTATAGAAAATTAAGATACGTCCGGTAGACATGACTGTAAAAGTGTGCTCTGTTCGTGACATTTTTCTTTGTTCTTTTCCTAACTCAATTTTGCTAGACAAATCTGGCTTAAACCCCCACTATTTGATTTTTAAGAATAATCTTAAACTGCACAAAAATTCGTCAATGTTTGTCTAGAATATGATCAAAAAGGACATCTTGTCTATCCAATTTTTTTAAAGTAACCAAACTGGATTATTTTTGTATAAAGCAAAGATATCGGAAAGTTCTCAAAATCATTTTTCTCTGGTGGTCCTTGAAGAAAATCTTCTGGTCCTAACTATTATTTCTATTGCAAAATTTTGATGGTCAAAACCTTCGGACCACCACTTTTCAAAAATGTTCATTGTATATGTATCAATATGCAAGTATACAATGTATACCAGACATTTCTCAGACTGTTTTTTTTTTCTTTTTTTTTTTAATAAATCCGTTGGTTGTGTACTGATTGATACTTCAGTCTGGGAGAACAAGATTTATTTCAGTACTAGTTGTTATTAGCTTTGAACAAACTTCCAGTTATTGCAAATACTCTTATTTCGTTGCTTTGTGCATCTATTGTCTTAATGTAAATTTTTTTGTGTGTCTCGTACCGATCTTTTGAGTTAATCTAATTGCAATTGATTTGTGCAGGAAGTTCTTATATTGTACTGTTACACCACTGTCCAAGCTTCGGGAAGGTTTGAGCGCTCACAAACATGTTCTTGTACTGTTACACCACTGTCCCAGGTTAGGGGGCGGTTGGGCCGGATTCCGCTAACATGTTTAACGCCGCCACATTCTGTATGTATGTGCCTGTCCCAAGTCAGGAGCCTGTAATTTAGTGGTTTTCGTTTGTTGCTGTGTTACATATTTGTTTTTCGTTCATTTTTTTGTACATTAATTAGACCGTTAGTTTTCTCGTTTGAATGGTTTTACATTTGTGATTTCAGGGCCTTTTATTGCTGACTATGTGGTATGGGCTTTGCTTATTGTTGAAGGCCGTATGGTGACCTATAGCTGTTAATTGCTGTGTCATTTGGTCTCTTGTGGAGGGTTGTCTCATTGGCAATCTTCGTTTTTATATCAACCCTGCCATATTCTTTGTGTGCCTGTCCCAAGTCAGGAGTCTATAGTTTAGTGGTTGTCGTTGGTTCATGCCTCGACTCATATTTGATATTTTGTTATGTATAATTAGGCCCGGTTAGTTTTTTCGTTTGAACTGTTTCTCACACTTTTCACGTCAGGCCTTTTATAGGCGACTTTTAATACAGTATCGGGTTTTGTCAATGTTGAAGGCCTTAATTACGGTTGCCTATAATTGCTTACATCCACTTCATATTTGAACTCCGATGGATAGTTGCCTCATTAGCAATCATACATCTCTTCATTTTTATATTATATACCTGAATTTTAAACGCGTGTTTTCCTGAACCGAGTCCTGAACATGCATGACATATTTGTCACTGGGCGTTAAAAATAAGCAACAAACAATCAATCAATTTAAACTTGTGTTAAATAAGAAGACAAGAGTGCACACACTTAAATGTCTCGCCTTCTTTACTAATCATTGATATTATGTTGATAGTCCTAAATATAAAGCTTTCTTACAACTGTCACAT